TAAGCTTGATTTTTCGCCCATATGCGCAGAATGACTTAGCGGGTGCAAAAGAAGACATTTGTTTATTTTGTCTGTGTGTGTGAACTCAATTTGTCGATATATTCCATTTTGCATCTGAAATTCTTCGTGAATAAATATTCACTGTATCAGAGAATGTCTATGTACAATACATATTCTATGACTGCATTGTCGTTCATGCTGTTTTCGTGAAAAGGAAGATGGATACTAAAAAACAGGTTAAAAATAGTTTAAATGATAAGCAGAACTCTGCGATATCTGTACTACGTCAAGCTGTGGAGCATGACCAGGAAGGAAACTATGTATCTGCCTTACGCTGTTACAGGGAAGGAATCGAGTTGTTTTTGAGTATTATTAACTCGCCGGACAACAGAACATTAGACGAAAAAACATTAGCTCACTTTCGGCAGAAAACTAAAGAATATATCGAGAGAGCTGAAAAAATTAAAAAAATAATTGACGAGCGAAAGCACTATCATGAACAAATTCTAATACCAAATGATGCAACTGGATACAGTTACGAAAAAGTTTTTAAAAAATATCTTGATAAATCTGTGACAGAAGTTCATGTTGAGGATCCTTATGTAAGGACGACTCATCAGATTTACAATTTCTTAAATTTTTGTGAACTTCTAGTAAAATTTTGCTCTAATTTAAAGCATATATATTTGGTAACAGGACGGAATGAAACGGACTACCAGAATCAAAATTCAAAATTTCAGAACATTAAGGAGAGTCTGAAATCCTATAACATTCAATTGTCTATTGAATTTTCTGACACATTACATGATAGAGAAATTCGGTTAGACAGTGGTGTTTTTATAAAGATAGGGCGTGGTCTTGATTATTTCAAACATGTAAAGAACTTTGCTATTGGATTTTGTGATCAAAGTTTGAGGCCTTGTCATGAAACTGCAATTGATATATATGTTAAACATAAATAAGTTTTTCGATTACTTAATTTTTTTTTTTTTACAAAACGGTACTTCATAATTTCTTTGATTAAGTAGTACATGGACAAATTCTTATGTGTTCTTAAAAATGTAAATCCCTTAGTTTTTAGTTTGATATATTTGGTAGTTTGCAAATTCTTTTTAGAGTGTTTAGATTCATATAAAGTGAATTTGGTTGATCTTTACATTACGGTAACTGGTAGTTTGGCGACATTTTGGAGACGATAAAGGTTACTACCTGGGACTTTGGTAATAATGTGAGCAGTACTGAGTTCCGATTACGCATTATTTTGTGTGGGGGAAATGCGAGATCATGGGATATGTCGTGATATTAATGGACGAATTACGGTTCTTTAATCGGAAAAGGGGGGAAATCGGGGAAAATCTGGAAATTTGTATTTGGCTTATTCTGTGTTGTGTGAAATAGTGTTTGTGAATTTTTGGGATCCATGGCCGTAAGTAAAGTGAATTCGAAATGGTATTTAGTGGTATGAAAAGATAGTAAGAAATGTTTAAGGTTGTGTGAGAGAGAAATAACATGTTTTATTATGTTATTTATTTATCTGGTATCTTGCTTTAAAGATAAGTTGATTTAAAGATTCTGAAAGAGAATGAAGAAAAGTGTATCCGCACGTAATGAAGATTCTGAAGGAGATTAGGTAAGTTAGTATTTTTAATATTTTTATGCATTGTGGAAATGTAGGTGGAAAGGAATTTGGTATTATTGGGAAAATGTTATTAGCATGATTTGTTTAAAGTAATTAGGATGTAAGGTAATTTTTATAATTGAATGTATGTGCTCATGTATATTTTAAGTGGTGTTTTGAATTTAATTATATTTTAATGAAATGATAGTTATTTTGTGAATTTATACTTGTAGGAATTGGTGTATGTTTAAGTTGAAATAAATGTGCATGGAAATAATTTAAAGATTTGATAATAAATATTTGTAATGCTTCATGTATGAATTCGTTGGTGACGTGTATAATGTAATAGATATTTAGAGGTAAAAGTTTTTGGATATTTTATTATTTTTATGTGGAAATGTTCATTTTCCAGGGTAAAATACTTTTTCCGATCAATGTAATTCATATATGTTCTTTTACCGGTTTAAAGATGAGAAAATGTCATGTATTTTTGTGAAATTTTTTAATTTATGAAATAAAAGCAGTGTACATGGATTAGTGAAGAGTGGCGCAATGCATTTTTGTGCAATTCTGGGAGTTTTTTTAAGTAAAAATAAGTCGACGTGTACATGGTTCATTGATATTTTAATGAAATGATAGTTTTTTGTGAATTTATGCTTGTAGGAATTTGGTTTACGTTTAATGAAATAACGTGCATGGAAATAATTAAATATTTGATACTAAATATTTGTAATGCTTATGTATGAATTCGTTGGTGACGTGTATAGTAATAGATGAGTTAGAGGTAAAAGTTTTGGATATTTTATTTTGGTATATGGGAAATGTTTCATATTGTAAAGGGTAAATACTTTTTGCGATCAGGTAATTTCATATATGTTCTTTTTACGGGTTTAAAGATTGAGAAAATTGTCATGTATTTCGTGAAATTTTTCGAAATTTATGAGAAAAAAAGCAGTGTACATGGATATAGTGAAGAGTGTGCGCAATGCCATTTTGTGCAATTCTGGGATGTTTTTTAGTAAAATAAGTCGGCGTGTACATGGTTTATGTGTATGTGTATTTGAAAACGCGTAAGGTGTATGGTATGTGCACTTTTTCTGAATTTTGGCAGTGAATATTGTCATGATTAAGCAGTTTTGTTGATAAAAATTTCTAGCATAAGTGTAATTCGGCTAGTAGATTGTTGGAAGAAGTGTTCAGTAGATAAGAAGAAAGAAACATTTCTTCTGAAGTGAAGACAAAATGGCGGCGGGAAAAAAAATAGAGGGTTGCTGTAGGGAAGTTGGTCGCCAAATTTTCGCCAAAAAATCGCCAAGTTACCGTAATGTAAAGATCAACCGTGAATTTATATTAACCCACACATCAGCTGAAAATGATATTCAGATGATGAAATTTACAGTTTTGCCAGACTAGGCCAGATTTTATGAGTAAAATACTTCTCTTAATGCAGCATAATTATTTTTAATAATTAAGATATATTTATTTGTTAGTGAAACACTGCTTTGAAAAGTCTGGCATTTTCAAAAAAGTAATAATGATCTCTAGCATATTTTTCCCGTGATGTGTCCCAAAATTTACCTATGTCAGTATATTCACATACTGTACTCATTTGTTCAATATGTCTTAAAACGTGTTAAGTATTATATGACAAAATGTTTATACTTAAATCTTGTTAAGCATTATATGACAAAATGTTTTTCTCATTACGTAATACGAGGTAAATATTATAGCACTTTTGTAACAAATAATGTAATTCATAGCTGCTGAATCTTACTTATGCAATTAAACCATGGGATCTTGATTCTTCCTCTAAGAGAAGAATTTATTTCATACAGTGTTCCCATTCAAAGGAATTAAGTTTTTTATATTTGTATTTCAGTTCATAACATTTTAAATATCTAATTTAATGGAAAATATTCATTTTCCCCCTTAAAAAAAAAAAAAAAATTTTTTTGAATTCATTTAAAATGCTGAAGAATTTCTAAATGTTGAAATACTTTCAACACATTTTTTTAAGAGGAAAGAGGTTATGGTTTTTAATCGCATGTATTGATTGAAAATATGTGTGAAAATCAGAACATATTTATATAAGCATATATAATTAAAATATAGAATACTTACGTTTAAAATTTTATTTCTCAAATGTCCTAGTAAATTTATACCTAACTACAACAGTTTAATTTCCCAAGCTAAAGAGTAATAAACTTCTGTTATTATTAAAACTTATATTATCATTATAATTTAATTCTTAATTAAATTCATAACATTATTATCATTAAATAAAAATGGGTTGATCTTTACATTACGGTAACTTGGCGATTTTTTTTTGGCGAAAATTTGGCGACCAACTCCCTACAGCAACCCTCTCTTTTTTTTTCCCCGCCGCCATTTTGTCTTCACGAGTAAAGACATGTTTCTTTCTTCTTATCTACTGAACACTTCTTCCAACAATCTACTAGCCGAATTACACTTATCTAGAAATTTTATCAAACAAAACTGCTTAATCATGACAAATATTCACTGCTAAATTCGGAAAAAGTGCACAATACCATACACCTTACGCGTTTTCAAAATAACATATACACATAAACCATGTACACGCCGACTTATTTTTACTTAAAAAAACATCCCAGAATTGCACAAAAATGGCATGCGCGCACACTCTTCACTATATCCATGTACACTGCTTTTTTTCTCATAAATTCGAAAAAATTCACGAAAATACATGACAATTTTCTTAATCTTTAAACCGGTAAAAGAACCTATATGAAATTACCTGATCCGAAAAAGTATTTACCCTTTACAAATATGAACATTTCCACTATAAAATAAATAAATATAAAAATCAAAACTTTACCTCTAAATCATCTATTACATACACGTCACCAACGAATTCATACATGAAGCATTACAAATATTTAGTATCAAATATTTAATTATTTCCATGCACGTTTATTTCAACTTAAAGTAAACAAATTCCTAGAAGCATAAAATTCACAAAATAACTATCATTTCATTAAAATATCACTGAACCATGTACAAACGTCGACTTATTTTTACTTAAAAAAACATCCCAGAATTGCACAAAATGGCATTGCGCACACTCTTCACTATATCATGTACACTGCTTTTATCTCATAAATTAAAAAAATTTCACGAAAATACATGAAATTCTCAATCTTTAAACGGTAAAAAGAACATATATGAATTTACATGATCGCGAAAAAAATTATTACCCTTTAAAATATGAAACATTTCCACATATAAAATAATAAAATATCAAAACTTACCTTCTAATCATCTATTACATTATACACGTCACCAACCAATTCATACATCGAAGCATTACAAATTTCTTATCAAATATTTAAAATTTCCATGACATTTATTTAACTTAACATACACAATTCCTACAAGTATAAAATCCAAAAATAACTATCATTTCATAAAAATAATAAATTCAAAACACCACTTAAAATATACATGAGCACATACATTCAATTAATAAAAATTACCTTACAATCCTAATTACATTAACTAAATCATGCTAATAACAATTTTTCCCAATAATACAAATTCCTTTCACCTTACATTTCCAACAATGCATAAAAATAATTAAAAATACTACTACCTAATCTCCTTCAGAATCTCATTACGTGGCGGATACACTTTTTCATTTCTTCAGAATCTTTAAATCATACTTATCTTCAAAGCAAGATACCAGGTAAATAAATAACATATAAAAACATGTTTATTTCTCTCTCACACAACCTAAAAAACATTTCTTACTATCTTTTCAATCCACTAAATACCCATTTCGAATTCACTTTACTATGGCCATGGGATCCAAAAATTCACAAACACTATTTCACACAAACACAGAATAAAGCAAATACAAAATTTCAGATTTTTCCCGATTTCCCCCCTTTCAATTAAAGAACCGTAATTCGTCCATTAATATCACATGACATATCCATGATCTCTCATTCCCCACACAAAAATGCGTAATCGGAACTCAGTACTGCTCACTTCTACCAAAGTCCCAGGTAGTAACCTTTTATCGCCTCCAAAATGTGCCAAAATAAGTTACAGTAATGTAAAGATCAACCTAAAATTGTTTTCATCAGCAAGGATGCTATTATATTTTAAAATTTTATTATTGTGAGAAATACATATAAATTTAATTATAATACTTAAATAGATCTTGTAACTTTTTGAGATATATTTTTTATTCAATTTTTACTCACATTTTTCCTAAATGAAGTTAAACATGTTACCAGAGAATCTTTATTTTGAATTTAAAAGAAATTACTTCGACTTTTGCCAAAGATATTTTCTTTAAAATATTAAGAAATTCCATAATGCTTTTCCATGCAACTTAATTTTTATGATTCATTTGTTTGAGGGTAGAACTGTTTAAAATTGAATGTTTTCGCAAATAAATTGGAGCACTTTTCTTTTCTCTTTATTAATAATGTTTATCTAATTTTCTACTCGAGAAATTAATAATATTACTGTTTGAATAGTATTTTAATGTGTTATAATATTTTCACAAGAATTATTTTTATTAAAATTTATATTTTTATATTGTGTTTATTT